CTCTCTCTCTCTCTCTCTCTCTCTCTCTATTTACTTCTTTTCTACTATACAATATATATATATATATATATATATATATATATAAATTAACTTTATTTATTTATTTTATTTATTCCAATTTTTTGCTGAAGAAAAAATATTTTGATACTTAAAATTCACTTGAATAAAGTGGTAAGTAATCATACATTTTATGAGAGATAAGAAAAGCGAATGGGAATTTCAGATTAAAATAAAACATAACTAATGGAATAGTAAACTTATCTTGATGCTGCGGATGCTATAGCACTTACATTTTTTTTATGAATGTCGATAAAACACATGCGAATTAATGGAGTCAAATACTGAAATAATATCAAATGTAATAAAAAAAGATTTAATATGTAGTCAATAATGTAACGTAATCGATGAAAAATAATTATTTTCTTTGATTTATTTCTTCAAATAACTTAAGGCGATACAGTCAGATCTTATATTTCAGATCATCTCAAATACAAAGTTGAAATGCTGTAAGTTATTTCATGACTGGATAGAATCTCAAGATCACATCTGATTATTAAAAATAGGATTGGATTATAAATACCACCTACCATACCTAAAAAATAGGATTGGACCATAGTATCTCTATGCTATCTCTAATTAAGAGACACGATAGCTTTTCACGTTATGTATTTACAACCAGTTGCGAGTATTTGATATTATTGAATTTCAAAAATAATTTGATCGACTGTGCGAGTTAGATTTTATTAAGTTTATTAATTAATCATTTGGATTTTAATTATATATCAAAAAAGTGCCTTTATTTTTCCTCTATATTAATCACAACACTAAACATTATGCAAAACAAATATTTATGGAAGCAATACAACAAATTAATTTAAATATGATATGTAGAAGATTTAAATATGATATGTGAATTTTAAATTATGATTTATTATACATTTAAAAAGAAAAATTTTAATTTTATTATAACTTGTAGAGATTTGCTCTTTCTGAATTACTCATTAAGTTATAAAAAAATAAAATTGTTGTAATACTTATACATCATTTATAAATTAATCTACAAGATATGTTGTTCACAAGCTATTCCTGATTTTTCGATCATCGATAATGTACTATTCTTCTTACTTCAAAATCCAAGAAGAGAGCAGAACATTCATTGTCACGATGGTCATTGATAACCGGCATAGAATTTTCCATTTACATTGTGTCGATCACATATGATCAACATTATTGACATTTAAATTTATAAAAAAAATATCTGAAATTTGAATTAGATTATCAGTCTGTTCATATCATGCTTGGTACGTCATATACTTAATATTTATAAAATGTCTTCGGCACCTTATTTTCTAATATTATACATGATCTTTAAAAATTTAAAAATTTAAAAATTAAAAAATTTTTTCTCAAATTTGCATGTAAATATATATCCATAAATTATCTTAGCTGAGGTTAATTTTCGCAATAAGAATTTCTTATGGGAGGAAAAAAGATAATCTGTATCGTTATCGATTTATTGAAAAAAACAAGATTGCGTGATGTTAAAATAAAATATTTTTGTGCATACTGTAACATTATTATCTCTCAAATATATGATTATTAAACTTGAACAATTAACAATTTATATCTAATTGCACGAATATGAAATTTTACAATTAATAATCTGTAATAAAGTGATAATTTGTAACAAGTTATTTTACATATCAAATGTAATAAAAAAAGATTTAATATGTAGTCAATAATGTAACGTAATCGATGAAAAATAATTATTTTCTTTGATTTATTTCTTCAAATAACTTAAGGCGATACAGTCAGATCTTACATTTCAGATCATCTCAAGTACAAAGTTGAAATGCTGTAAATTATTTCATGACTGGATAGAATCTCAAGATCACATCTGATTATTAAAAATAGGATTGGACTATAAATACCACCTACCATACCTAAAAAAGCGCAATTTATTTGTTATAAAAGTAAAAATCAAACATGAACGCTGTAATTCTGTTGTAATATAATTACATGGGATAATTACTTTTTAATGATTTATAAATATTTTATAGATTACAGTAAATCCTATAAATCTTGTAAATCTGAATATAAGAAATTTGCTTTCCAAAAGAATTGAAATAATTAACAGGATAAAAAGTGAAAAATTTAAGATAATCTTTTAACAAGTAGTGTGAATAGTTTTTCTTTTTTGAATAGAAATTTATAATTTGTATAAAGCTAACATTAAATTGACGACGAGGTAATCACGAGGTAAGCGTCTTACATATCTATTTCATTTTCTGTTACGTAGAAATGATAGTTCATTTGTAGTAATGTATTACATTAGAACTCTGTGTAATAATGTACCGCGTATAGCTCGTTTTAAGATGTGATTAGGTGCTCATTTTTTTATACGAAAATGTTATATAGATGGTAATCAAGATCAATTCGTGATCTTGATCTAGAGACGAATAGAGTTGACGCACATAAATCCTGTTTACTGCTTAAAGCACGTGACTACTCGATCGATCAACTGATCAAAGTAACATAGTAAGCATGTGTTATATGTACGCGCAAACATTCACATAACGTTGCACTCATTCATAGATTATACACATATTTCGAAATTATATTTTAATAGAAAATTGATTTAATAATCTGACAAAAATAAATCTTTATTTCGCGTTATGTTACTCTCATTATAAAACATATATAAAAAATGATTCAAAAGTTGTCTTTTAAAGACAATATTTCTGTCTGGTTATTAAGACAACTTTTCCTTTTCCAAAACTTTATTCAAAACTTAATAGTTCTTGAACTATAAAAAGAAATAGTTTATTTATCATAAATAATCTCAAATATAATCGAAAACTAAGCTCTGAATAAAATTTTGGGAAAGTCTTCTTTCCAAGAATTCAATCAAAAATATATCTTTCAAAAATCGTTGTTTTGAATCATTCTGCATATATACGTAGTGAAACGAGGAATAAAAATTGAATTATAAAATATAAAAAATTGAATTATAAAATATAAAAAAAAGAAATCATGTTAATAATATTAAAAAATGTAATGACTGTTTAAAAGAGTGTATAAAGAAGAGTGTAAAAATATATTTCTTTATCAAAAATAATAGACTGAACAATATTTGGCACCTAATTTATTATGAAAACAATATTTAATATTGCGTTTCTTTTTCTAAGTTTTAACATTTCCGCCTACAAATATATTTTTGTTAGAGGACTCGATACAGAAAAAAAAAATGTGTCAAAATAAAATACGAGACTGAATACGAGATTCCATCAAAATTCGAGATTGCATCCTGCAAGTACATAAGCAAAAGATAAAACTAATTCCTTTAAAAGTGCAGAGTTAAATTGATTTCTTTAAAGACAAGAATTAAAGTAAAAATTCTTATATCTTCAGAAAATTAATCGATATATTAATTAATGTATGAAATCAATTTCCAAAGTTTTTTATATTTATAATAGATATTTAGATTAATATATCAATTACTTAACCTCCTAAATTATATGCGATACTGATTTTTTATAACTCTAAAACTCTATTGTAATCTCTTTCATACTAGGATCTTTGAATCTAATCAATTATTATTATATTATATAAGACTGTTATATAAGACATACGCTGCGGGACTGCCAGTATGTAATACCCACATGCTAGTTTTGTACATACAGTTTTTATTCAGAAATATTATAAGGACACTAAAAATACATACTTAAATTGTCGCGCGTCGTTTAAATCCTAAGGAGTACATGTTCAAAGAGGCACAGAATGATATATTCAGCTTTTCGTCTCTCGCTTTATCGATCACGAGGGTCCGTTATTCGTTTTTTTTTTTTTTTTTTTATTATTCTCTAGGAAACAACGAGGACGAGAAATAGGAAGGGACGAGGATCCAGTGGTTATGTACAAGTAGGATATCTCCGGGATTGTTTCGTTCTCGTCGAGCATCGATTTTCGAGATTCGCATCTCGAGACGTGGCTCGTCACTCTCGTTACGCGGACAGAAAGAAAAAAAAGAGCAACGCCCCGCTTTTTCCTCGCGAGTTTTGTCGGCATTTGTGCGCATTGATGGCATTTCCCACGAGAAATCGATACGCGACCGTCCTCGCAATCTCATGCAGCGATGTGCATTTCACCGATCTTAATTTACATAAATAATAATGATAATAGTAATAATCGTGTCGCAGAAGAGAAACCGGGCGCGGTGCGATGTGTGTTTTCATTTGCGAAAGCAGCGACGCTTCGCTCCACTTTAATATTAGTGTTACGGGATTTTCAAGCGGCCAAGATGACGCTTTCTAATCGCGACAAGGCGATTCCGAGATCTCGTCCGAAATCTCGCGCCTGTCGCCCGATTTGCTTTCTCCGTGTCTCTCAGAGCTGCGCCCTCGTTCTTCGGCTCGCTTATCGCTCGATTATCGATTTTTTATCATGATCGCCGGAAAACAATCGATCTCTGATAACCGGATCATGCGGCCGATCGACGCGTCGGCGCGTCACTCATTTCGCGGATAACAGATCACTTTCTTGCCGAGAAGCCGTCGCCGGTCGGGTCCAACAGCCATGGGTAGTTGTTGGGACACTCCATGCAGGTGAAGAGACGCAGGGTCTCGCCGGGCAGCTCCCTGGTCGTCAGAGGGCAAGCGTTAGGCAATGAGCAATAGGGTAAACCCTTTTCGTCACAGGTCTCCTTCCAGTCCTGGAAGTCTCTGAGCGCGGAGAGTTCAGTGGGTTGTTGCATCCACTTGATCACCTGATGAAAAATAAACAATACGTAACGTAATATTTCTGCTAATGTATAAATCTCTGTTTAACATATGAATGCATTCACAAATGCGATTATCAGAAACACAGGCTTGATCATTCACCTGAACCATGGTGACGAAGTACACGTCGCTCCTGGCGATCATCTCTTCGATGAACTTGATCAATTCGTCCTTGTATTCTTTCTTGCTCTTCAGCCAGGACGCGTGGAAGTGCAAACCGAGTGGTGCCCGGTTGCTGTTGAAGTGCCTGTTGAAGTTGTGTCTGAGCAAACGAGCGAACTGCTCGCCGGTCTGGATGTTGGAGCAAGAGTCGACCATGTGACAACCCGGCAGAGACTCGTCGAAGGTTGGATCGTCCCTGCGGTCCAGCTCGTTCATGACCATCTCCCAGACTGGGTGCGATCTCGACGGGCAGTTGCCACCGTTGCCGTTGCATCTATGGGGCATTCTAAAGTACAAGGTGTACGGCCAAATTGGCACACGTCCGAGAGACGCGGTGATGGAGGCGTCGTACACGAAGAACTGATCGGCCATCATCTCGAACTGCTTGTTACCACCGACTCTGAGGTAAGGGGCGCGCACGCCGATGATGGAGCCGTCGGTGATATTGGCGAAACGCTCGATGATCAGCCTGGCGCCGGCCATCTCTGCCAACCAATCGTCGTACGTGCCCTGGCTCCAGTATTGCGGATCTTCCTTATGCGTCAACGAGAACACAGCGATCTCGTGGCCGCGTCGATGAAGATCCTGCACCGCCGAGTAGTTGGTGTACTTGTGAGAGACGAAGAACGTGCCGCGAATCTGGCAGCCATTCGGATTTTGACGTTGCCCATTGAAAATCTCCTCGTAGAGATCGATGTTGTCTACGTTTACAGCGCCGTTGAAAGTGATCGTGATCATCTGCGGCACTTGTTGAGGATCGATGTTGCCAGGTATTCGGGTGCCATCAGCCGAACAGTAACAATCAGGCAGTACACATTGTGTAGGATCGCAATCCGGGGCACGGTTTGGATCAGTTTCCACGGCTATAACATATTTTTTCAATAACATTTATCTGAAAAATGTGAAAAAATCAGTTTGAAAGAATTTAATTTTTTTCGTTGGACCATTAAAATAATTATACAGGACGTTCAAATCCTTTTTGCTAGAATGTAAAAAAATTTTGTAATATTCTTATACTCTTATATAACAATTCTGATAACTTAACAAAATTATTTTCAAATCTGTGTTCGATCAAACTTTTTAAATATTTTAACAAAACCATCCCTTTCCATAAAACAGTCTCTCTTTACTTAATATTTAAATTTAAATTTAAAGTTCCATTGTACATGTGTCTAAATGTCAGAATATCAAAGTTATCAAAGGCTGACAATTACTTTCACAATTACGTTCGATAATTAATATCGTAATAATAAAAAATAATATAAATAATACGATTGTAATTTAAATCTGAGATTGGCGTGTTAACATCGCAATAGGCAAACGTAATATATTGCAATATTTACTGCAAGCGTTCTCATCGGACTCGTCCTTGCAGTCGGGTTTGCCATTACAGAAGAGCTCCTTGTCGACGCATTCGCCATTACCGCACGACAATTTTCCCTCCGGACAAACGGGTTCGTCGGTCTTAAGGATGGGCAGTACCTTACGTGGTTCTGTAAAATGCAATGTCCATTAGACCGCGCAATGTTCTTCCGCAAATCAATCATTCGAGCTATCGAATAGATATAATATAGAAATTTAACTATCAACAAAATGACCGATAGAATGCCCAGTACGACAAATCATTAGTCGCATTAACAATTTTCATTAATAATTTTTATCATAGTCTGATTTTTTTCCTTCTCTTTATCAAGGATTGCTTTAAACCAAAAGCTCGAAGTTATTATATCAAAATAGGTAAAATTTTCGTAATAGACTGTTACTGAAATATTGTATGAGATCTTTATCGCTACCGGTGCTCTACATAATCCACATGAAGAGCTAGAGATGTAATCAAGATTTCGTAATAGGCACTTTATGACGAGCCACTGAATACTGTATGAAATTCTCACTGCTGTTGGTGCTCGGTAAGTAATTCACGTGACCAGCTACAGGTGTAATCAAGGCCCGAATGCCACTGTTCCCCGTTTATTTATTTACACGCAGCAGCGTAGGAACCATGTATCATTCTACGTGGTAAACTTGGCAAAACAGACAGATGCAAAATAAAACTGTTAAGCTGGGGGGATTGTGCTAAATTAATTTGTGCCACCCAATTTCCGCAATCTACCTCGTCCACCTTAGCGAAACAGTAACACATTAAATTTCTACTCCGTTTATTTTTTAATCGCAGGGGCAGAGTATATATATATATATATATATATATATATATATATATATATATATATATATATATATATATATATATATATATATATATATATATATATGTCTTGTCCTGCAATCTCTTTACCGGTTTTCAGGCAGGAAGATTATTTGTCTTTCGTCTGACGACGACTCCAAAGATAAACTTTGGCTCGGCATTTGTCTGCCTCGTCGACTGGCAGCGATGCACGCAAGTCGTTATTTGTGTATGAGAAAATGAGAGTGGCAGAGAGGAAGAGAGAAAAAGAAAAAAAGTGAGCTTTAAAAATATGATGATACGAGCGAAAACGTAGAGGAGAATAACTGTTGCAAAATTAAATTAGAGCGTAAAGCGGCATGGACGTGAGGAGTTTGGCATGTTTGGCGATGACGTGATTTTCATAATTAATTTCAGAAATCTTCTCATTTTGTTATTTACTCGAGGCTCGTCAAGGCTCCGTGACCTTCTATCGCTTAGAAATCGATGACTTTGGCGATTCTATCTATTAGCTTAGTTACCATTTGCAATATCGAGAGAAAGTATGCGACACCCTGTTTATTGATCGACAGATTGAGATTATGGAAATGAATGTAGAAAAAGGTCTCGCTGCCATTTTCTCGTCGTGAGATGAGAATTGCCGGCAGAAGAAGAGCCTTTCGCGTTAATAAGATTAACGATCAAGCTGATCGTGCTTGAATTTCGAGACTTCAGTAGTAAAAGCGAGCCGGTCAGACGGCTGACTGAATAGCGAGGAGCTACTCCTATAAGGAGGCCAGATCGCCGAAGCGAAACCGATCTGGATGCAGAGAGAAAGATTGGCGAACGAATACGTGCAACCTCGTACCTGGAGCGAACGTTAGGGGGAGAAGAGGGAGGTGTTAAATGTTAGAAAATAATTGCGTGCCAACGATTGACTCGTACAAATTGCAGAAAGAACGTGACATTTGAAATTTAGACGGGTGGCGATAATATGCGATGCGAAATATATATAGACCGCGGATTATATTCCGCATAATGCGCATCGATAAATTTTTTAGTCTAAAGTTCATCCAATGGCCATTTGGGATATTAGAATTAATTTGTCTAATACACAATGTTCGTATTCAGTGGAATGAGAATCGGATGCAGCGGTGCGTTGAGCGTTAAATGGAATTACATTTTGAAACCGGGCAAAAATCGCGATTATCTTTAATACAGAGAGAAATTATCAATGCGCGAATTGCAACACGTGATTTTATATAAAAGCAACGTTTCTTCGTGCAGAAACGTTGCTTTTCTTTCCTCTCGATCTCTCACGACGGGAACTGCTAGTAGCGCGAGATTTATGGATATATTCGGTAACTGATTTCGCTGTCATTCAAAAGTAAGTGCCTTTCAATCGCTAAACGAGATATGTCTGATACACATTCGAGTAAAATAAATATTTCGCTACTGGTTATCGCCACTCACAAGGGAATAACGTAGCAACGCGGAAGCGTGTGATAGTCTTCCGCGTGTACGCTGGCACGCAACATAGTGTTAATGATTCGACAAACCAAGATGTTAAGCTGTCACAGCAAGTCTGGTAAAAATCGAAATTGGACGAAACCGCAAGAAGTCAAATATCTTATTAAACTTCACTGCAGTATTAGCATGAATTGAAATTGCCTTCCGCGAAAGGAGAGATTCCACGGCTAAGAGAATTTCCAATGTGATTACAAAAAAGAAAGCGTTAATTAATACGCGTATAAAATACATCTATTGACTATTTCTCAAAGTGGTGTTCAAACAAGGACGGAGGAAGTTATTAGTTAGATCGAAAAACGGAATCGAGAACACTCGTCTCTTCGTCCAACTCCGTTGGAAAGTGCGGAAAGTTAGTCGTACGCGTGGTGAATCGTGGAAATTGCATGAGAAAAATGTATATATGGGAGATAGTTTCGAAGATTCGAAACCGGGTTAGGCGCTCGCGAAGCCCGATGTTTTCACGACCGTGGCTGTCTCTGAAGCGTTTTCGTTACCGCTCGGAACGGATGGGGCCCCGATAGAATGAGACCCCGCCGGGCCGGCACTTTCGCTGAAAATCGAAACCAGTCCTCATCTGAGACTTGCCTCGAGTCCCAGAACGAAAGTGGTCGGGCGAGAAATCCTCGGCACGGCGGGCGAGAAACGTTTCTCGAAAGTATCGGGCACCGGGGGCCATTTTCGATCGTTAATCGCTCTCCGCTTGAAAGTACAAATCCCCTCCCCTCCTCCCCCGATCGTTTCCTCCTCCTCGCGATCAATCTCTCATCGAGTCGCGTCATGTTAATACGCGCTTTCCGGTTTAATAGCATCGCACGTCGTTGGAAAGTTTCGCATAGTTGTCGTTTTCGATCCACATCGTTTACGTAACGAAAGCGATTGCGCAATATCCCGTATCGCGATTAAGAGAAGCGAGCGACTTCTTGCTCATAATTGGAATAACGGTCTCATCGGGAGTAGAATCCGATGGCGGAGCAACTTTCGAGCAACTCGAGAAAATTTCATTTCCGACGGATGTTCCTTGGTCCCTCGACTTAAACATCTTGACAATCGTTCAGAGACGTTCAGGGTCGCTGCGCATCGTGAACGGGGGGGAGGGAGGGGGGGAGGGGAGGGAGGTTGCTCGGGATGCGGTGGTGAACGACGATCATGCGTTAGTTCTAATGATGGGGTGCGTGCTACGTTGCGAGTCTACGAGGGAATCGGCGATCCGACCGGCGATCGATTGGCGGCCGCCATCGCCGATTCTCCGACTTACTCTCGAGCTTGTCACAGTTGGTGACTTTGCCCTTCCAGTCGCAGGTCTGTTTGTCCAAGTCAAAGGCCAGTCCGCTGGGACACGTGATTTGCTTCAGGCCGGACCTTGTACACCTGCCGGAGCCGGGACAGAAAACAAAGGGTGCCTGCGTGAGTCTAACTAGGGAAAAAGACGTGTTGTTCGCTTACTCTCGAGCTGATCGCAGTTCTTGACGTTTGTCTTCCAGTCGCAGGTCTGCCGCTCGATGTCGAACGCGAGACCCGTGGGGCACCGCACCGTCGCCAGCCTGGTCACGCCGATCTCGCTGGCTTTGTCGCACCTAGGATCATTTTCATATCGAAAATCCATTCCCATGCACGCGCAATAACCTCCGATTAGCCAGCGCGTTTCGCTCCGTTGTGCGAAATAATCAAGCGCGGAATACAATAGAAGGGAAAACAATGCGTTTACAATAAACAAGTGTAAGTGCATCGACACGACGCATCGATATTATAAACTGGCGCTATATCAATGAGTCATTGTTATGACATAATATGGCCAAGTAATATGTAATATTCATACGCCTCTATTGTGTTCTGCTAATATGATTTTAGATTTTGATGAGCACATAAATGAAAATCATTAAACAAATGAAAGATCAACGGTCACCGCACTAGAAACACAACGCAAGAAAAGTCATTTGTGTTGATTATAAAAAAAATATCAAATGGCAAGAGGGAAATGTTAAACTGGTCTCGGAGTTGCATTTAGCCCGGATTGCCTTGAGTCCTGGAACATCGGAATGTGATCGAAGCATTCTTGTGATCAGTCACATTCTAGATCAATGAACAAATGATTGCTATTTTTATCAACCGATGGCTTATCATCATCTGCATTTCGAGACGCATTTAGTATGAAACCGGATGTCCTTGAGACTTGTATTCTCTGTCGTGACAAATAATGAAAAATGTAGCATGCGATTCGCTTCCTTCGATTTGCAACGAGCAATTTGACAAAATTCTGAATATGCGTGAATAATCGTGGGCGAGTAGGATTAAATTAGCGCGAGAGAACCGGGGAAAGTCTAGTAATCGAACGCAAATTTGCTTCAAGTCTGCTTCCTGGCGATCAGTAGAGTCAGTGATATAAGCTGAGATACAGGCGGAAGTGAGTCAGCGAGCCACTGGCTTTTTTACTTAAAACCCGATTCACCTTGCGCGATCCCATTCACCCGCGATCGCTGTGAATTAAATGCATTATATAAGGCGATATAATTTATAACGATAAAGCGCGGAGGCAGCTCGCCGGCGTTCTCCAAGTTCTTGGAAACCGGTGCTTAAATTTTTTTTGCTTTTTGTGCGTGAAACAGTGAAAATTTATATAATATTATTCCGCTCGGGATAACCTCGTTGAGGCGGCTCGATCCGGTCCTGTATTCACGGATGGAATAGTACGACGGCTTACCTCACGACATCACGACAATCTCCTTCCACGCTCAAGCGAAAGTATTCATCGCCCGGCCTGTCCTGACAAAGTTCTTCGGCGTTTGCGTCAATCCCGTCACCGCCTTCCTCATCTTGCGCTCTGACCTGTGTGCCTGCAGAGAGGAATATGATTTATTAATTAATAATACATACATAATATATACTTCTCTTGCATCACCGAGTGTATTATGCAGTCAGCTTTATATTAAACTCAATTTCTCCTCTTTGTTTAATAATTTAATAACTTTGCTTCATAATTATTAAATTTTTTGGAAATTGTATAAAATATATATAAGTAGGATTCAGTAGTAAAAGTACTCTTGCTTGCATAAGAATTGTCCTGATTTTTAAATAACTTGTGCACTGAGATTTTTTTAAAAATTCCTTTTATGAATACTTCCATAGATGGTGACGTAACATCGCTGTAGAAATTAGGAGCAATCGACGTGATCAAAGGTGCACTCCAATCGAATGTGACATTTCACATGGAGACAAAGCGGAGGTGAATTCGATTAATCGCTGAAAATGTCACGATCGGTTCACGACATGAGCGTGCGCTTCGCGATCGCGGATCGAGGGAGGGGTCGGTGAACTCCAGTAGAAGTAGAAAGTCTTGAAAATGTCAGGACAACGGGGAAGGGGAAGGACAGTGGTTCTCCAGAGTAGCTTCTATTTCTCTCTCTTTTTCTTTCGAAATACACGCGATTAATATCAATCTTGAAGAATTTTTATTACACTTCTGATTTTCCAATGTCTACCAACAGTACTTCACTTCCTTTCGTTATCAGATATTTCAAACTTGTAATAATTTTCAACAATTTTAAGATTAATATTCGACAACAAATCGCAGTTTATTCTGTTACATTTGACATAGTTTATGAATCAAAATTTAAAAATCAGATTCCAGCCTTGATGATTACGAATGGCAATTGAAATAAGTATCAAAATCATCGCTATGAGAAAATTTCGCAGGGTTAAATAAATTATAAATAAAGTAGATTAACACTTACCGGCAAGTAGACACAGGGATCCCAGCAGGAATATCAACTTCGGCGACATCGTCGTCGTCGTCAGGACAGAGAACGTCTGGACAAGCCGCGCCCTCTCCGCCCCTCTATATGTGCACCACCACTCCTTCCCTCTTCATCGTGGAACTTTCACCTTCCGGACCGTGCTGCCACCTTTCAAATGGGCATCAGAAAAGAAGCAAAGTCCTGTTTATCAGAGAAGACGAAGAATTGACGAACAATTAAGTTTCATTATCATGGAAATTTTATCTGAAAAATTATTGCACGTGCAGTGATCGTTACAACATTGTAACATTTTTAGTGAAATTTTCAATTTTACTTTACCTTCAGCCGAAGGAAGATATGAGCACTTGAAACCTAATATAATCTCTTCAAACCTAAAAGCATAATCTTCTAAAACGAAGGCGAAACGAAAACTTGGGTTTTAGAGGACTGGGAGGACGCAGATTGACCATGGGATGGAATGCAAAATTAATCGTTTGCACGTGGGTTCTATTTTTTACCTGGTTCCATTATTTATTTCTCATTTTTACACCACTAACTTGTGCGACGTGGACACCATTTTTAACTCGATGGGCCGCCGATAAGCGGCTCCTTCTTCGAAGAAAAATCGCATCAGGAATGCTGCATAGAATCCAAAAGCTGGATTTATAACGTTGTTTGTGCTACCTAAGCGCTACCTAAATCGGAATCTCTAAATTCCTAAAAGTTTTATATTTAATCGTCGAGTATAATGTTAGTATAATGCGGATAATTTCTTTGAAGCGCGCGTCAGGCTGTTCAATTCAAGGTCCAAGCCGTGACTTTGATCACGGCACATCGAGAAGTGAAAATGAAATCTTTTACGGAGCTTCTTTTTACGATCCTCATGAAAACGTTACGATGTTCCGAAGGCGATCGCGAATGAAGCCTTGCACTCGTAAACCTGAGAAAGTGTCACTCCGCGCCGCGTTACTTTCATCGGGAAACCGCACTTGACGATGTACTTAAGTGCTATTTTAAGTCCCGGTACTAAGGAGAGTATCAGGAATTTCTGTTCGCAGAATAAATTCAACGTGCAGCCCCGTTAAGGAAACACATTACGACGGATGCTCAAAGAGAGTTCCGTTTGAAAACGAAACATCCGCGCGTAGGAAGAGGAAAGTCATTTGAGCGAGAGAGAGAGAGACTATAATTTGAGATGTAATGTTCGTGCGTACGTGACTACGTAAATCGCTTCCAGTGCTCGGGAATTAATTATCTGCTCGCGATTCTGTGAAATTGTTAATGATTCAATCCCTTTAAGTACGTAATCGTGAGATGAATCCTTCCGGAAGAACGGTATCACCTGCATGTGCAGCGAGGCGCGAGTTTCAGTTGTGTTGAAAGGGATTTGACCTTTCGGCGAAATCTATTACGCGGTTTCGAAAAACGCATTTTCCCAAAACGATACAGTACGAGATAACACATTTCGAGAGATGTATATCTTAATATAAAAGAGAGAAATAAATTTATTTTTATATAAAGAGATGAATTTATTTTTTCTTATTTTATTAATGCGATTACCGATTTATTTTAATAGTCGCGTCTTCGGGGCTTTTCCATGAGACGACACAGCGTGTAATAAATTTGCGGTTTACGCAGTAAAGGTTATCTGTGTCGTTGCCGGCGAAATAACATCGCAGTACGCGTATTATTACGCGAGACATTTGCATCGCCATATCGCCACGGCGCGCCGTGGCGAAAGACGTTTATTCCAAATTCAGGTTACGAACGTACCGTGACACGTGCAAAAGGATACAGATCTTCCTCAACAGTCAAAGAATGAAAAAAAAAAAAAGGGACAAAAGCCAGCGTATCGACGTCGCGAAAGCGACACGAAAGCACACAATGAAACTCGCTCTAGAAGATCTCGCTTCCTGCTTGATAATTGCCCGCCTGAGACGTGCGTTTGGCTTGAGAGGCCAGAACTGCGCTTATACAACGTAAGGGGAATCTAGTCACAGCGGTAATTATGACACGACGAGCTATAAAAAGCGTCACCGTTATAAACGATTAAAATTTGCATGGAATAGGCATTAATTCAATACGTATTTTCGTTGCGCAATGCACGATATATTCGAGCCTTTAGACGTCGCTAATAATCGCGCAACTTACATGATATAATGCA